ACGTCTGGGTTCTTGTTTAAAAATCACTCCAATCCCAGGTAGACTGAAACAGGTTTCCCTCCAGCATTGTCATGTATTTGGCTCCATCTTTTTTGCACTCAAGCCTAACTAGGCTTCCAGTTGCTGGCCAAGAAAAGTATCCCCGCTGCCACTACCATGTTTCACCTAAGAGATGGACTTCTGAGTGTGATTGGTGCTTCTGCACAGCTTTATCATAGAGTTGTTTCAATAGTACTTGACATACATGATGCTGTGGGTTTAGATACAATCATCAACACATTCTCAAACTTTCCAGAAACAAGTGTTTTTATTCTGAAATCCTGTAGCATTGGAATTGCACACAGGTATATTCCATTCAGCTACTTACAGTACTCTGGAGAAAGTAGGTTGTATCGAGCTTATTTAAGCGTGACACTGCAAAGGGAGTATATACTTATGCAATCAGCAAGTGCCAGTTTGTGTTTGATTACTTAATGTTGTTACAACAATAAAAAAATACTTTGCACCGTCAAAGTGTTGAGTACTTTGTGGTAACAATGCCAATTGTTTCAGTTCCAGATTTTAACGAGCAGAATGTGGAAAATTCAAAGGGGATGAATATGTGAACAAGGCACTGTATGTTTAGATCAGGTAGTTTACATATCCAGTCATGTAAAAAGATGGGAATTTATTTGTACAGGTACAGGTTCACTTCGTTGAACTGGATTCACACTACTCCATCCCCAGAACTCTCCTACTGGAGCAAGAGGAAGGGAAAAAGGCAACTTTCACCAAGTTCCCTTTACAGCCCCCTGAAATGTTGCTCTGGAATATTATGGGAACAGAAAAGGAGGTGGTATTGAGAGCCACCAGGGAATGGGGAATTGGTGAATATTTGCTGGATCTCACCCCTTTTGTGGAAGATTGTGTCTGTGTCCAACTTGCTTCAAATGATGCAAGGAAATTTGTGTTATCCAAGAGCAGCACTGAGCAGTGTGTACTGCATTGTTTTGAATTATGTTCTGAATGTTCCTATCTATTGAAGAGATACCTATTGAACAACAGAAAACTTTTGTGTATCCAAAAACAGATTACAAAGATACCATGGGCTTACATTAAATAAGCTATCCTTCAGACAATCTTAAAACCCACATTCAGTGCCAAAGATTATTTCTCTATATGACTGAATTCAATGTAGAATGGAAGGAACGCTGATTTGTATTCTCATAATGCTGCTTTGTGGGCCTCAGTGGGGAAAACTGCAGGGCATCTTGGGCTTTGAATTTCTATTTCTCTCTCTTGCTCACCTGTTGAGAGAGAAATAAATGCTCTCCTCCCTCAAGTTGTCATCAAATCTCCTCCTTTTCTATATAAGGGAGCAAAGGGAGAGGCCTTGCTAGTTCTGCCTGCTTAGGAGGGAATAGCCTGGCCAGCCAGTTGGCTGCCGCACTTGCATATTGCCTGCGGCCTTCGAACAATCAAGGGTCAGTGGCAAGGGTCAGCTCAGACAACGCAACAAGCCACAGTTTTGACTTGACTCTTCAATATCTGCTTGTCATATGCCTGGATTCACTGCAACTAGCTGTAACTTATTTAAGCCACAGGGACCATACGGACATGGTCAATATATGCTTAGGAAGAATTCCTTACATCATAAGAGAAAAGATTTTATGAGCGCTTGAGAGAGGAGGGCATTCCGTTCTGAGCATGTGCATGAGAAACAAACATGAAGTCCAACCCAACCTTCAGCTTTCCCCCCTGAGGTGTGCAGAGGGGGCTGGATGACATGACAAGCCAAGGTAGTGGTTTGAATAGACAAAGTAGCTGCCTAGGCTGTAGCCCACTGTGATAAGCGATGGTGGGATGCTCATTCACGAGAACTATCCCAATAGGTACAGCCCATGAACACAGCCTTTTCATGGGTGGATGTGCAACTGCAGAACTCGGTTGCTGATCAAATCAAACTCTAAGCCTGTTTTCTTGCTTGCTGCTCTTCCCACATATTGGAATGTCACCCCCCATCTTAATCTCCACGTTTTTCTACTTCCCACATGATCCTGAGCTTACATTAATTCTCTCCCCCTTCTTCCTCACTGCCAGCCCATAAATTTATCTGAGTCATGTCCACCCTACTTTTCTCTTTTTTCTCATTCTGTTTTTCTCCTAACTGCTCCTGATTCATATGCTGCTGCCTCTCTTTGCTCACACACTATTTGTCACCAAGTTACATTGCCACAAATGCAAAACAAGGTAGTTCCAGAAATGTTGGAGAGAGATAAATGGTGAAGACCAAACCGTTTACTGGGGCATGCCTATTCAAGTCATTGGCCCTATTTCAACAAACTATAAAGATGCCATTATCTTCCAAGTAATGATGGTAGTTTTCTTCTACATTGTGCCATTAACTTCCGTATTGTGCTTTCAATAAAGAATGAAAGTATTCACATACAATACAGCAAAAGTCGTGCTCCTGTCTACAGTAGCAATTAACTGTTTCCTACTTTGGTGGAGTACAGGACAGTATCTGTGTGCATTATTACTCTGGGCCAAATCTTTTTCTCTACCCGTGTCCCATTTCCAAAAACTGCAAACTTCCTGTCCCCCCCCCCCCCCGCACCTTCAGAATGCTGTTTTTTTAATCTTGTCTAAATTACAAGGCTGCCTTTGACCTTCTCTTTTGTTACAAAGTGCATGAAAAATTAGCTGCTGTTTCAATTCATGATTATTGTCTGACCTGCTTCAAGCTGATTTGGACCAAAAAATCTCTGCTCCTTTGATGATAATTGTGTGTGTAGCAACAATATACACCACTTATTTTGCTGCACTGTGATTTTGACTGCATTGTTCTGGATTTTTCCCAGTACTATCCAAATATTTCCCTACGCATCAAATTCTACCATTATTAGCTGTACTCTTTCTCTAGTACCTCCCCATCTATGTCTTTTTAAAATGTGTCTGTCACTGAAACCTTGAGGCCTTTTATTTTGCAGATGAAAAGCTATTGGAACGTAATTGTGTGATTGTAGTAGATAATGAGGTGAGTCAGCTTTAGTAAATAAGCCAGATTGAATCAATGGGATTTAAGTAAGTCATCTTCCTTTACTTTGGAAATGTGCATTTTTGTTTTTGAGAGGGATACAGAAATGTCCTTTTCCCTTATTTGCCTTTTCAAATTCTTCCTGTCCTCTCAAGCAAACTAACCAGCTTGTGTCCAAAAAACCTTTTTTATTATTGGACTCTTTCTTTTACCCACTGGAATTTACACCTGTCCAGGACACTGACCCTGTAGTTATCAGTTCTAGCTAAATGTTACATATTCCATATGTTTCCAGTTATTCTAATCACTTGCTCTTGCCTTGTTGCCAATTCCTCATCTTGAGATAGCTCAATTTCAGGCACTTTAATTGCTGCCATAGCATGAAAACAAGGTGCAGTCTGTTCATCTGGCTCCAGGAGAGATTAGGGTTGGTGAGGGTCAGCTAAGAAGATGCTTGGAATATCTTGGCCAGGCAGCATCAAAAGCCCCTGTGGGCCTTCATTAGTGTCAAAGATTTGGCACTGAAGAATTGATACCAGCATATTGGTACGAGTCAGAATATGATGCCAAGTATCAACTGCAGTCTGGTTGGCACCTACCTGGACCTAAACCCCATTTAAGCCAGTCGGACTTGCGTCTGACCAAAAGAAGCAAGCAGGAGAAATTATCATAAATATTGGTTTGGCTATAAAGGCCAGCCAACACTTCTGGAATAGGATTGAACAACAGAATCATGAACTCCCTCTGTCTTCAGTCTGAATTTTCATCTTCCACTTTAGAAAAAAGCATACAATCCTACAGTTTGCAGCTAGCCTCACATCACCTCATTTCTTAATCTGATTTCCATTCCATAGCCACAGGGCTTTGTGTTTCCACAGCGGTAGCTGTGTTAGTCTGTGACAGCAAAAACCATGAAGGGTCTTGTGGAACCATAAAGATAAACAAAATTATTTATGGTATGAACGTTCATGGAGTTTAGCCCACTTTATCAAACATGATCAAAGGTGTATGATAAGACCTAAACATGAATTTTTGAATGTTCTAGATTAGATTAGAGGACTTCTAAGAAACTGAAATACAGGTATCCCTTGCTTAACACTGTTTGGATTAATGCAGGTTTTGATTAACACGGTGAATTGCGACAATCCCTTGATATATGTGGCAGAGTTTTAATTAATGCACTGTTCATGGCAATGATGTCATTCGTACCACCCAACCATGATCTCAGGGCTTCTGGGAGGCTGACTTCGGTGATGTTTGTATTACAAACTCCCATTATTCATTGTAAGTTTTAGAACCCATTGATCATGTAGAAGAATCAGAACACCAGGCCATCAAGCCAAAAAAAAAAAAAAAGGAAAAGGAAAAGGAAAGTAATATCCTTAGATACAAAACTTGATAAAATTAAAATATTTAAAAGTGGTGAAAGTAAAAGTAAGATTGCAAGGGAATTTGGCTTTAATGAGTCAATGATACGGGCAGTTTTAACCAAAGATGACTATTGTGAGCAAGGTAAAGTCACGTCTATGTCTGCAGGTATGCAATGTACGCATAACCAAAGTGTGTTAATGACTGGAAGACTACTCGTCAGATGACTCTTGCTAACTTTTTCAGCAAAAATGTAATAATTAAGTACATTTAATAATATATTTACTTTGCAATCATATCTTGTCTTTCTTAAAACGGTACAACATGATGAACTGTTAATACAGTAATCGCATTATGGACAAATTGTAGTTTGTACCATTGATAATTAGATTTGAGTAACGTGGTTTTGTTATACACAGCAATATTGTGTGATCAATTAACAGCATTAATCGAGGGACACCTGTATTTGTTTTGTGTTACTTAGGATTAAATCACTTCAGAAGTTGCTTGCAGTTTGAAGATTTTGTTCTTTTGCATGGAAATGAAGCAGGAAGTACTTAGCATAACTGCTAAGTTGTAGTACAAAACTGATAAAATATTTCTTTCTCGTTGACAGGTTAATGGTTCCAGAGAGTGAAATTAGGTTTGTCCACAAGCAGATGGGCTTAGTACCAGGCTGGGGGGGAGCTGCCAGGCTTGTACACCTTCTTGGCAGCAGCCTTGCCCTCAAGTTGCTGAGTGGTGCTGTGAAAGTGGACCCAGAGATGGCCCTTTGTGTTGGCCTGGCAGAAGCCATGTTACCCACATCAGATGAAGGTGACTGTCTACAAGAAGCGCGCGCTTGGCTCAAGCCATACACAGATGGCCCTGCTGAAGTGATTCAAGCTGTGAAGAAAGTTGTTTCAGCAGGAAGAGAACTACAGTTAGAAGTTGCCTTGAGGACAGAAAAGAAAATTTTTGGAACTGTTTGGGGTGGGCCTGCCAATTTGCAGGCCTTGGCTCAGAGAACAAAACACAAATGAATAATATGTAAAAGAAGTGTTTTTTAGTATTTCTTTTGAAAATGAACTGCTGCTACTAGGAATTTGTGAGAAATTGTGTCAAACTTTATCAACCCAGTGGGCATTAATTTTCTGGGACATTTGATTATAACCCCCTATATTATCATAGCTAAAGTGGACATAAAGGGACTTAAATGAACCTTATCCTTACATAGACAGGAGACACATGTGAGAAGTTGCCCTTTCAGATAGGCATGAATTATGTTGCTATCTCCCAACTTTGGAGATGATCATAAACACATAACCTAAAAGCAAGAACTTTGATGCATGCTAGGAATGAACAGATCAAAATTAAATAAGATTTTTTTTATTGAATTGCATGTACCTGCTTCTCTTTGGGACTCCAAAGCTCATGCATTAAGCTAAGGAAACTTGATCAGATTTGCTCTTGATGGTCTCCAAACTAAGCTCTTGAAGATACTCTGTACTGTAAGTCCCACCTTCACCCTAGGTATTTAGGCAGATAATTCTTGTTAAATTTGAAGATGCACTATTACCTCATGCTAGGGCTTTAAAAATGACGTAACAACATCAAGTGCCTTAATCAAATGCATATCCCAAGTTTTTAAGGTCTGATCTCTTTACAGTAAGGATGCAATTCTATATATTTGCAGGTCTGTTATCTTAGCATGCAATCGTACAACTTCCCAACATTGTCGGGGGATTATTTCAATGTCAACCTTCAGTGTCCTGCAACCAGAGCTAAAACTCAGAATGTGCAGCACGGAAAACAATGGTGCCAGCTGCCTCTCCAAGATCAAAAATCAGTCTGAGAGAAGACTTGGGCTGATAGCTTATGGTGCATCTAAATGGAACCCCAACCTTCTCCTCTTCTCCTCCTAGAGGGGAATAGCCACCTAGAATGAATGGCTACAAGACGAAATGTAGCGCAAGGTTTGGAGATGGTAAGGGTTGCCATTGCCATTCCCAACTCTGTGCATTAGATGCATGGAGCTGCAGCCCGGTGTCTCAGTTGGCCTGACCAACTCCAGCTAGACTGTGGAAGACAGTATCTCCAGGATGATTTGCAACTGCTGCGCTAATAGCAGAGCACCTACATGTTTGAGCTTTAAGATATTTAACATTAATACATGATTAATCCTCATGTTATCAATGTAATTTTGGAAAGGAAAGCTGCTAGTTTTTCTTGGCCAGAGAAAGTACCTGATTGGGCCCAAATTCGATTCTCTCAAGAATGAATATGCTCCATATTCTCCTGTCTCAAAAATTGGAAGCAAGTAAGTATGGTTTTGATATGCTATGCATAGCACATTCTAGCATACAGATGTTTTTCTTTTTAACTTGAAAAAAAGCTTCAAGATTGATGTGTTATTGCATCTTTTCTTTTTTACAGTTCTGGTATTTGAGTTACTTGCTTCCCAATGATGACCCTGCCAATTTTCTATCATTATACTAGCTTAGGAAATAAGGGTTTATCATAAACAAAGGGCTTATTCATTTTTACACAGAGGGGTACAGATTTGTACTCTTTTTGACAATATTGTACACCCTCAGCGTAACTGTTTGTCTACTTAGAAGCAAATCTCACCAATTCAATAGGACTTACTCCCAAATAGCTAGTTAAATTTCAGCATGAGAATACAAAATGAAAATGACAACAAATTGAGGGGAGCCTGCCATCAGGATGATATATGCCGTAGTCAGTGAAACATAAATCAGAAAGCCGTATTAATGTAGTTAGCTTTAGTGGAACTGCATTATAGATCACTTATTATGACAATGAGTTTTTTGTTGATAAGCTGAACTCGCCATTGACAAGAACATCTTTTAACCTGGTAAATGCACTGGTGAGGGTATGAAATTCCTGTTAATCTGAGAATGGAGAAAAGCATGAGCTGTCCCAAGCAATTGCACTTGCAGTTTTGTGAGTGTATCACAGATACAGGAAGAAAAGTATTCACTTCCTCTCTTCTGAGTTCAAGCAGGATGTAATAGATCCTGTAAAGTGCAGGACTTTTGAATGGAAGACTGCTTCACATAATCACTGTGTAAATACTGAGGCACATATCTGGCTTTCCCTTATGTATAACAGAACATGGTTCATCTGGTCATTATATCATACACTGCTGGTGCATGTTGGGTTTTGGCAGTGAATGCAGTTTGTTAGCAACGAAGTATTATAATGTACACAGTACCTGGCCTAAAAGGCTACAGCAATTTGATAATTACCACTCAAGTTACTGAATACTAGCTGTATTCATCTAAACACTATCCATTAACAAATCCTCATTCAAAGAAGTACAAAATGCTTCACTACACACACACACACACACACACACACACACACACACACATTTCTGATTTAGGTTGTTTAAACGTAAGATATAACTGAAGTATATACTGACAGAGGGTACTTTAGCAGAAAACCAAACCACAGCTGTTACTGGCTGTGGTTTTCTGCTGATTTGCTATCCTTTCAGAATAGGCAAGGAACAGAAGGGGGTCCATTTAATACCACTTTAGCCAATGCCATCTCTTTTCAAGCAGTGATGTTTTTCCACAAGACCCTAAGGTGCAAGCATCTTGTTTTATTTTCTTAATAAGTATATGTTTTAAGACACTGATCATCTTGGAAGCCAAATGTGCTTCTTGCTGATTTTCAGTGGACTTACTCCTAACAATTAACAAAATGAAGTCTCCATGCTTCCTTTGAGAAATGCTTTCAATGCGACATGGGTACTGTCCCATGTGGAAACGGGACAGATTGTTGATAAAATGTAGTTTATTAAATTATAAATTTTTTAACAAAAACAAGACAGAACAAGAAAGACACAAACAAGCTACAGGGACTAGACAAGAGAGCCAATGAAGACACCATGAAGTGTTTACAAGTAAAATTCTGCAACAGAAGTTATTTTACATTTCACTGAGGAAGATGATTCATCTTTGTTTTAGTAAAACATCTGAACTTCAGAAGTCACACCTACTTTATGTTAAAATTAAGCATCTTGCTCATACCCAAACTCATTCATTTCCAGTTTTAATATTCCTTCCATACATCAATCCATGCAGATAGTAAAGATACTTAATGCAACAAATAATGACAGTTCCAAGTTGTACAGTGAATATACATTGGTCAAAAAAAAAGTGGGATAGGATTTTACTGGGGAAGAGGGCTTTACTACCAAAAAAATTGGACATATACAAAACTGGGTTTTGCTAAGTAGCTGTCAAACTATTAACATGTGCCCAGTTTTTGTTAAAACATTGAGTCTTCCAGCCAAAACATGTTGAGACTGCTTTGAAATTTACAGTTAGATGACCAAGTTTGCTTTTCCCTTTCCCCTCCTCCAACACTGAAACACTTTAAATACACTGCTAGGCTGGAGTGCAACGGCAATACAGACAAAATGTACAGGTACAAGACTGAAATTTTAAAACATGGCTCTAGATTTAGACTTCAGTTATTGTGCACTGTCCATCAGGCCTTCTAGATCTTACACTGGTGTTTCCCACCCCACTCCCTGCCACTGGTCTATCCAAGGCTGGCTGATTTGCATTCAGATGTCTCTGCTGAGCAGAGGATACAGGCAGCTGAAGTTGGGCTGACACATCCTCACTATCGCTGCTAGCATCCGACTCTGTTTCCTCAATGGAGGTGTCAAGAACTGGCACCCTACCAGAAGACGATGATTCATGGTCTTCCTCTCCCTCACCCCTATTGCTCCTTTCAACCATACTGTTTCCATTTATTTGCAAGTTGGCAAAAGAGTTCTCTAGAGTGCTTGCATCAGGTGATGGCGTTGCAGGACTTGTCAGCTGACCATCTAGTGAAGGTAAGGGTCTAACAGAAACAGTTGCTAGAGGTTGCCCAGCAGCAACTCCTAGAGCTGGTATGTTGTCTGCACCATCAGCAGAGCTCTCTCGTGCTAGATTGAGAGCATTAGAGTCACAGTCCAACCTAAGCCCAGCCACTCCCTTCTTTGGAATATCTATTATGTCCCGTTTTATTTTCCTGCGACGTCCATGCTCATTTCTCCTATACTGAACCATGTTCTCAAGATCTGCCACATACAAGTACCCAGCAATTAACATTTCAGTGCTCTTTTTACCTTTAGAAAAGGCATCTTCCAGTTCCCTACTGGTACGTTCATCATATTGCCACCAACCATTTCTGCCTTCATAGTACCAAGCATATTCCCCATTTCCTCTGCTGGCTGCTTTGAGTTCCTCAGGTGACAGCAAAGTAGGCTTATCAAGAAAGTCCTCTGGGATCTCCTGCCGACAGAGTGCACATCGCTTTCCCAGCCAGGAAGCTCCTTTCACACACAGATAGCAGAAGACATGTTTACAAGGCAGACTCACAGGGTGGACACATGTTTGCAGACATATAGCACATTCTGGGACCATAAGAGATGGAGTGGTGTTGGAACACGATTCATTTGTCTTCCTGCTCGTGGGAAGCATATTGATTGAGTGATCGATCTCTCCACAACCAGCCATCCTAAAGAAGATCAAAAATAATTTGGCACAATGTTCCTTTATTCTGCTTTGTCTAATCACAAGACTTTACCTGTATAGTTTATAATATTTTAAAGGTACAAAAATATATGTAAACAGGAAAGAATCAGAAGCCTTTGATACACCACAGAATTAAGACTGCAACACATCAATCAGCAATATAACTAGCATGTTTTTATAAAAAGGTGTGGACCATAGACCTTGGATTCAAATTTCAAGATTTACAGTAAGGATGCAATTCTATATATTTGCAGGCCTGTTATCTTAGCGTGCAATCGTACAACTTCCCAACATTGTCGGGGGATTATTTCAATGTCATGAAAGTCAGTATTTCACAGAGTTGTTATTACAATAAAATGAAGCAATTTTACACACACTGGCCAGAGCTTACTGAATTGCAGAATGTAAGTAATTTGCATTTTGTGTGGTAGGGGTGGTGGTACAGTTTCTTAACTATTCAAGTTTAGGAATTCTAACTTCCGTTTCAAACGTGTTTCAAAATATTACCACCTTTACAGAAACAAATATATAGGAAATACTATCCTAGAGTCCAGAGTGCAGGAATAGCTTCCTTACATACTGCATTTTTTTTAATTTCCAGAAGAAATCAATTTCATTCAGTAGTGGCTTAAAGTCAACTAAGTGGCATAACACTGCATCAAACTAAGATATATTAAAAGCAAGTTGTTTCATCCAACAGTAGGCTCCTAGAGATTGATCAAATTACCAGAAGTAAAATATTCATCCAGTATCCAGAGTACAATGAGATAGTATTTCCTAGAAGTTTGTTTTACAAAAAGGACAAATTCTTGTGTCCCAGAACAATGTTAGGATCCTGTTGTGTAATGCTGATTGTGTAAGGAGAATCTTCAGGCACCCACACCATCTGAGGTGATATGAGCAGCAACCAATGGCAGAGGGTTTTTTGTTTTAATTTTGTCTTGCTATGGCATCCTGAATGAATCCTTTCCATTGGAAGGCAAACCAGATACCTAGTTTAATGCCTTTTCAGGCTTTCAAGCAAAGAGCTTTTTATTCTCCCAAGCATCTTCCAGTTTTAAACATCTAATTTTTATTGCTTTTTATTCTGCAGCTGTTCTGATGTTGACAGCTTTTTGTATTTCTTTTTTTAAATTCTGTCAATTCCCTTGGTTCTTATGCATAAAGGAGTAGGATAAAAATATACAATAAATGTTTTATCATATACCTGGTAATTGCAAAAATGACAATATGCTTAGATGCAATGGCTCTGAGAACCCAGTTTATATTTTGGAAACCAGATTAAACAACCCAAAGTCAACCCAACAACAATGCATGGACAATTGTTTGATTAACTCTGTGTTATGTAAGCCCTAAACAATCCAGAGTTTCCACATTTGTTAGCTTCCCACTTGCTTTTTGCCTGTGCTACAATTTAATAGCAATTTCACCCATCAAAACAACAGATACGCTAATGTCCAAAACAGGGTTCAAGGCCTATAGTTGATTTCCAGATGGATGCATTTGGCAAGCACAAGGAAGAAAGATTAAGTACTCTTTGAATTCAATTAAGTTAATTAATTCCATAAGGTCTTTGCTAATTTAGTTCAGCCTTCTGCAATCTAATGCTCACCAGGTATTTCAGACTATAGTTTCTCAGCATTTCTGAACACTAGCCATGATGGCAGGGGCTGATGGATGTTGAAGCACACACCAGGTTGGCTTCAGCATTCAAATAAATTCAGATCCCAGCTCAGGCAAAAATTGCTGTATTAAATTTACATAAAGCCCTATACAACCTATAAAACCATATACAAGTTGGGTGCAGGCTACCTGAGAGTCCACCTTCTTCCACATAAGCCTTCTCAGATCATAAAGTCTTCAGGATAGGCCCTTCGTTCAGGATTTCTACATGCAGAGGCATGTTTTGTGGCAAGGCGGAAAAGGGTCTTCTCAGTGGCTGCTCCCAAGCTGCAGAACTCCGTGACAAGGGAGGCTAATTTTGTTCCTCTTCTCTAAGGTTGACAAGAGAAGGCTTTTTGATTGAAGCAGGTTGTTGAGACTTTATATTTCGTTACTTTTGTCTTTTTAATTAGTGAATGCCTTTGGTTTATTAAGTTAATCAAGTTTAATTTATATTGTGACCTACCTTGAGTGCCATTTTTCTAGGTGAAAAGGTGTGGTACAAATAAAAATACATACTAAGTACTTGATCCTTCTAAGGAAAACATCTCAGCAAGTAAATCTATATCCATCAGAGCAGCAAACCCTTTATCTGCTTCAGTACTAGATAAGTGTCAAGGCAAGATTTTGCATACAGTTCTGCTTATAAGACAAAGCTAAGGTCTCAGCTTCCTTCAAGCAAATATCAGCCACCTCCTTAGAGATCACATTAGTAAAAAATAGAGCAATTTTCCAATAATCTAGTTGTCTTACAAAAGCATGAATTTCATAGTAGTCTTTATTCCACATTTTTTCTGCTGCTACTTGTTCCCCTTCCTAAAGAACTGAAGGAAGGGAGATTACTTTCCAATGGCCTGCATATTACTTCCAAACCACTCATTCACCAAGAGTGAGTCCCAACCTTTCTGTATAGTGGTGGAGGGAAAGGATGGAATTTTTTATGGTGGAGATCTAAGCCACCGCTCTGAACACATCAACAACCTGCTGGCAAACACAGGCAGTTTTCTTTCTAGTTTAGAACTGCAAAGGGTCAAGAGATCTTTCTTATCATTGCACTGAGCCTTCTAAAGCTCAACACAACAGTAAAGAACTCTGCCCCAGCTCAAGCTAGAGAAACCTGGTCATTTTCACCAGTTAGTGAAAAATTACTCCATCATGGAGGTGGAAAAAGGTAATTCAGAATCCTGGAACACACTGCTGCCACAACCAGGAAAATAATGGAACCATTTACCTTCCATCTGAATGGGTTAATAATCCAGTGAAAAATGCTTGTATGACATGTCAGTGAATAAGTTACACAATGTGGATTATTTGTGCAATGACCCAGAGTTTGCCTGACAGATGATCAAGTCTCACTGCTTCTTGTTGTACCACCTGGTCCTCCAGGAAATATCCAAAGACTAAAGCTGTCTATGCTTGCAATCATGAGTCCTGTTGCACTTGTCACAGATTTCCTCATTTTTTCTCCCCAGATGCTTTTCTGAAGTAACAGCCACTGACACTCCATCACAAGTGTCTAAGTGGCACACTGGAGGGGCTGTCAGCTGTTCATCAGCTTTCCCACCCCCCAGGACAAGAAAGTGAGAATATATTTTTGGTTTTGTTTGTTTTTGGGGGGGGGGGGGGGCAGAGCTTTCCAGGCTGTGCAACTTCTAACAGCCAAAATGGGAAAACAAACCAGGACAATGTTCTAGTAAGTGTGTGCTGTCAAAGTCAAGGGTATTTTAACAATGGGCACTGACCAGGTATCTACAAATCAGGAAAAAGTTAGGAGAAGCCAGGATGAGCACAAAGGAGTTCAGCATCACAGTCTGGGAGATCAAGTCAGATATTTTGCTCTGAAGTATTGCTTGGACACTTGCTGAAAAAGCTATCACTGGTGGTGGCTTCTACAAACCTCAGCAAAGGAGTTTTCTAGTTGTAGCTTTCCTTTTTTGGGAAGCATCCAGAAAGTTTAAAGTCCTAATATGCTGGCCCTCACTTATGCCCCAGGCACTATTCTATGATCCTAAGACAGGCTAAAGACAGAATATACATATAATAAATGCAATAAATAAATCAAGCAAGCTAGCTAGCTTGCACTTGAAGAATGATTCTGTCTATGAATGCTGATGCAGATTCTCAGGATAGTGCTAATTTTAGTTGTTGTGTTCCTATGCTGGCCTCTATTGCCTCAATGAGATATCCAAAGCAATACAATTAACCTTCTGTTGCAGTGTCATACGGAGATCGGTGGTGATAATAGCAAACTACCACCAATGCTAAACACAGGAAACAGGTTGTTGTTGTTATTTAACTTCTATACCACCCAATTTATTTATTATTATTTATTACTTATTCGATTTGTATGCTGCCTGACTAGCCATAGGCTGTCTGGGTAGCTCAAATCATTAAATCCAAACAACTTGACACATTACAAAACACACATGATAATACACAATCAGTGTCAGTAGCAATAAAATTGTAAAACTATCAAAATTCAATAAAGCTAAAATACACAAAATAAAAATAAATGCAATATATATAGGCAACCCAAAAATAAAACAAAAACAATTAAAAAGTCTTATCAAAATCTAGCATCAAAACAGATTGGCAGCAGTGCATTAACATAAAACAAAATAAACACATCAATAAAAACAAAAAAATCACCTAATCCAAGTAACTATGGAACAGATGTCTTTATTTGGTGCTGAAAAGCCAGGAGAGTAGGCACCAACCATATCTGCAATGGAATCGAGTTCCAAAGTGTGGGTGCTATGCTCATAAAAGCTCTCTTCACTGCAACTCCCCTCTCACTTCACTGGGCTGAGGAACATGGAGGAGGGCTTCAGATGAAGACTGTAATGACCAGGCTGGTATGTATGCAGAGAGGTGTTCCTTTATATAACCTGATGTCAACCCTTTTAGGGCTTTGTCTGTTTTTGTATTTACATTTTAAATTGGTCCCAGACAGCACCTAGCAATCAGTGTAGCCTGAGTGGGACTGGTGTGATATGCTTGCAAATGCTGGTCCTAGTAAGTGGGCGTCTCACCAGATTTTGCACACGTTGCAAGGTCCAGACCATTTTCAAAGGTAGCCCCATGTAGAGCGCATTACAATAATCCAAGCAAAAGGTTACCAGTGCTTGGATGACTGTAGCAAGGCTCTGCTCATCCAAGTAGGGACACAGCTGACAGATCAGGTGAAGTTGATAAAAAGCACTCCTGGAAACTGAGTCCACCTGGCTCACCAGGGATAGCTGGGGTTCAGGCATATACCAAGGCTGCAAATGTTATCCTTTAGGAGGAGCACATCCCCATCCAGAATAGGTAAAAAATTCCCCAGCTGAACAGACTAACAGTGTCTCCATCTTATCTGGACTAAGTCTCAGCTTATTGGTCCACATTCAGCCTGTTACCGAACTCAGTCTGAGGAGTGGAAATGGGCTGAATAGCTGAAGCTTAAGCTCGCTGGACAGTTCACAACTGGTGCAAGACTTGTTACTGTGTTTGAGCCAGTTATTTATATTATCAAATATAAGCTGCACCTTAACTCTCAATTCACAATATTGCAACAACTACAGTAACAGGGATTTTCTGAAAATGCTACCAATGCAAATCAGGTTCATTTGCACTGGGTCATCTGCATAGGAAAATGTTCAATCTGCATCAGTTTGCAGAGATAGCAAGCTTGTGTCCCTCCAGATGTTTTGGTCTACACTGTAGACTATCACAGACAATGTTTACTAATGGGGATCACAGTCCAAAACATCTGGAGAGCCACAAATTGCCCATGACTGTCCTGCCTGAGATAGATGTGATTTAGTATGTCAAGCATACTTGTATTTAATAAACAAACTAAAAAAAATACTATGTGCTAGATTATTTTTTGGCTGAATGCATCACAAGTATTTAACCAGAAATACCTGAAATAAAAGTTTAAATGACACTTAATGTGATTTAAATGGTACACCATGTAGAAATATGTATTAGAATATTTGTAAATAAAATAAAGATAATTGCATCTACTTCATTTACATTGCTTAAGTTTAAGGAAAAACCACCTTCACTTAACTGTTAACATACTCATTAATATTAGCAACTCAAATAAATGTGCAGGAAATGCTGAGACAATTCATTTTAATAGACCTCTTTTCCACTAAGTTTGTTGGGGAGTTCCTTTTCATTGTCACTACTGATTAGTTCCATTCCATCCATTTCTGAGACGTCATTGAAAGAAATACATCTACAGATTCTCTGTAAGAGACACCACTGACTACCTGGAAAGTATTAATGAGAACTATGGACCTTCAATGCTTGCCAGTTATAACTGCAATTGGTATACATTCATTTTTCTCATGTGAAACTAATTTTCCCATTGAGAAACAAAGTTCTAGAAAAAAAGCTGTTTTGAAACTTCTGCACAGAAGAATTTTCCAGGCTGCACACCACTGGACAGATACAAGATATATAACACATTGATAATCTTACCTTTTTTGTATTATTATTGCTGTTCCTGGAACATACTGCAAAATTAGGAGGTCATCTTTAAATGCATCGAATGAGAACCAAGTGTCCTGTTTTTGATGGATAAAGCTTATTCCTCTTTCATATTCCTTCCTTGATACAAGTAATGTCAGATTTCCACTGCAAGTTAACAGGAAAATAAAGTATTATCAAGCCTGGTAACTACATTTTTGTATCACCATTCTACTCAAGCACGCATGATGCTTTGCGGTTTGCAACAGAGCAGATATTACACACATGCCCAAACACAACTGTGTAAGAAAGAATAATGATCAAATTCAGTTATCCACTATGGAATGATTCTGAGACAGTTTGAGAGAGAAGAGTCCAATTGCACTTAGTCCCAATCAGGCCAATAGTTGTAGGGAGTGACACTGACCTCAGCTGCCATGATGCCGAATGTCTGCTGATACAGGTGGTCATGGGAGTAGAGAAGACAAAGAGTAGTTGGTTCCAAAGCCAGTAGTCTTCCAACTGGAAGTCCTCTGACTAGGAATTCAATGACATATTAAAGGGTAGGTTCCTCAACATGATGCCCATAGGTACCAAATTGCCTGCAGATACCTTTTACAGCAAAGGCACCTTAAATTCAAATTTTCCCACTAAGTGCTTTCCTTCCTCATGCACCATTATCTCATGGCAACCTTGCAAACCACCCAAACAAATGTTACATATTGCTTCACAGTTTGTAATCAGTCCTGTGGAGTTCACTGTTTAAAACACAATGCTTTGTGTCTAGACAACTATATAAATAAGCAGCATTATATTTCACTAGCTCCGAGAGTTTATGTTAAAAGACACTTTTATTGAACTTGAGGGTGCACTTCCAATTACCTACACAGATACATTTAAGTGGAATTTATATTGGACATACATCTCATATGGATACAATGGAGTAAATTAAGAAACTGACAGGTCCTGCTAAAGGATTAATAACAAGTAATTTAAAGAACTTAGGGGAAAAAATAGCTGATCTTCCAGTTAAAAGTTCTGAATGCACTGCACTCTGCACTGAAGTCTTTTCCATGCTATATGGAATTGCTTTACAAGTTTTTATCTTTTTAAAAGAACTGCCACCAAGTGAACAAGTGTCATGATTTTTCTTGAACTTTCCTATGCTGATGGCAGATACACATAAATCAGGTTACTGAGTGGCACATGAAGGCCTGATTCCTATGTTAACAACAAAAATTAAGTTAAACTTGTAACTCCATATATTTTATGTAATGCTCCCTTGTCCTCCTTTTTCCTCTCTACTCCATAGTGCACTGCCTACACTTTCAAACACAGATTTACATCCTCATCTCTTATCTTCTTTTCCTCTATACCCTTTAACATTCTTCTGCATCTTGACCACCACAGCTTTGGAACTCAGTTCCTCACAGAATGCCATTTTCCACAGAGATCCCTTTGCACTGCTACCTCTTTGTTCAGCCCTTACTCTCTCCCCAACCCTGGATTTATTTGTTCTGTTTCCTGACACTTTAATCCTCCTTGTTGATCCAGCATAAGAAATGCGTAAGACTTCACCTTCCTAGAGATTTATAAAGTGAATGAGTCTTAGGCTGCAATCTTATATGCCTGTGAGTAGATCTTACTGAACACTCCAAGGCTTACTTTGAGAAGACATACTTAGGCTGGCACTATAAACACAGAACCGGGCCATGCAATGTGCCTAGAGATTTTATCAGGATAACTAGCAAAACTGGCACAATTCCATAACATTGCTTTGTATCCAGGAGGATTAGAGGAACCAGTTATATACAGTGATGCAGCCATTCTCCCACCTCCACTTTAGGATGGCTTAGGTAAGCCTTAGAGGTTTCCATAAAGAGAAAACAATTGGAGCAATAGGTACGGACAATTCTCCTAGGTGAGCCTCAGCCAACCTACAGGCCTTATGTTGCACAAAAGAGCAATTTAATCCTATTAATAGTCCACCTTATCCAGTAAATTTACTGATCAGAAAAGACAGATACAGAGTTAAGATACAGAGTTGCCTTCAAAATCTTCAGAATATGCTACCCTGTGTCACACCAGCAAAACTGAGTCAGTCTCCAGTCCACTGAACCAAAGGAAAGTGAGAAAACTAAACCATCAAATATAAAAAGAACTCTAAACTTAAAGCTTAAATTTAAAATACAGTGTGCCTTCTACTAAAATGAACATGTGATCTTCCTTAGGAGACCAATCATAGCATCTTTAAGAGCACTTTTTAATGGCTATAGTTTTGCCATAGGTTTCACAAGAAAGTTTGTAAGTTTTTTCAGTTAACTTCATCCAATCTGCAATGTACTGAAGACCCAGTACTTACATGCCTCTTAGCTAGGATTATACTTTCATCTTTCTATAAAAATGTTGTGTTCTTTACTCTGTGTGTTCTCACTTCTTTGCGACCACTGCAATCAGTAAGCACTGTCTGAAACAGAAAATTCTGTCAGTGCCTCTGAATAGTCTTTGGCTTGAAGAACAGCACGGCAAGTTTCAGAGGCAGAGATACATTGCTAAGATCACTAAAAAAAATTGTTCTAACTTGCACTAACAGTTTACTGAAGTAAGTCCTCGCGCTTAAGAACGGGAAAGGAAAAGGGGAAAAAACGGGGTACATAAGATATGCAATCCCCAAGTTATTAGACAATGAATATACCCAGAAGAGTTATGATAGCTATCAAAGTAGGAAAGGGACACAAATGGGTGACAGAATGGGTCAGGAAGTAACAAACAAACACAGCTAGCTGGTGAAGGCTTCAATAGGCTGGTAATAAGATGCTACACAAATGCAACTAGAGCTGCTTAGCTATTAAGTAAAATTGGGAGAATGACCCCTGATGTTAAGTGATCTCTTCTTCAAAACACAAATTGTTCCTACAAAGCAAAGGCCCAGTGAGCACACAGAAAGGTCAAGTGTTGTGGCTCATTTGAAGTTTTGGAAAAAACCTTTTTAAAATGAACTATGACTCAAGTATAAGTTGAGTAAAATACTGTCAAGCCTAAGTTCAACACACCGCAGCAAACAAAGATCATTGGAAACAAGCAAGGGAGGGGGAAGGAGAATACCCTTTCTCAGTACAGCCACCACAGTTAAGTTTAGAACAACTCTGTTAATTTATGTGGCCACAACCATTTATAGAAGAATTGCAATGTAGAAGGATAGGCCTGCACTTGCACTGAACACAGAATGCATGGGAGCGCAACCATTTATACCCCAAATGGCAGTGCAGCTACTGCAGTCAACAATGTCCATCAGAAGGTAGCACCTGGCTCTCTTTCAAGTTGCTACTGTTTAATGTCATTAGCCATCAATTTCCCAACATGTAGCAGTGTGTGTTCAGATATACTTGATATGTTTTCCTGAGAGAAAATCCTGTGTACCATAATGTTCAAATGGTATTGATATGCATTAATAAAACAATGTATTGCTTTTCTCTGAAACAGAATGCCATTCAAAATTCACAGTAAAGCCCATTTAATACTTGGTGAACACAAGAATGATTTACCGACTTATTTAACAGAGATTTCAGACTCAGACTACTTCATTACACACAAATACAGCAAGATCTTATTTTGAGATGTGTACCAAACAAAAGACCAGTTTTGTTTCTGCTATCTTTATGTCACTACATATAGATGACTAAATCCTGTTCTATCTTGACCATATGTTTGATCTTCAGTGCTCCCTTGTACCATAATTTGATGTATGAACATCAAATGTAAACATAAACTTAGTAAAACATTGGTGGCCATCTTACAGCTGGTGACAAAATCTGACTCTTTTAAGAAAACACACAAAAACCAACTTAACATGCACACTACAAGATAATCGGGTTTCTGATATAGCCTATCTGATCTGCTGTTCTTCAAATATAAGCAACATGGTGTACATTTATCAAAAACTAGATTACAAACTAATTCACATATCCCGCTTACAAACAAAACACAGAAAAACCCAAAGTTCAAAGAACTGTTACAACAAAAGAAGTATTTTAATTGTAAGCACTTAGTTGCCATTTTCAAAGTTCTGAAAAAGTACTTTTGTGTACATTACTTTCTGTCCCTGTTATCTTATTACAATATATACTCAAGTATTAAGACATAATGTTGAAAACACCACCAGAAAGAATACACAAAGCAGTCAAAATCATACTCATCTCACCTATATTTTGAGGGATTAGGGCAGCCTTCTTCAACATGGTATCCACCAGATGTGTTGCACTCCAAAACATCTGGAAGACACCAAGTTCAAGAGCAATGTATAGAAGAACAATAAAACAATGATTGCAGAATGGAAATGGCAGCCCTAACCAAAACTACAGCAAATGATGATATACATTTAGCACCAGCATATGCACAAGAGAAACCAACAAACTTGCTTTTCAATCTAGTTACAGTTTATTCAGCTGTCATTAGCAGATTTTCTGTACTGCAAAGTCTAAAATGAAAAGGAGATGACTAACATTTAGTGATAAGTCAACAGAGAACTATGTTTTGTGAAGTATAAAGAAAAACAGCAGGCATGCAGGGAATCTGATGTAGGCATTCTGAACAAGGGAACTAAAGCTACGTCCAACCATTTCTCAAATTGGCTACAATGAACCACACCCAATGGCTTCATCCACCAGATATCTTTCTCACTGTTCAGTGTTTAACACTAACAGTTAAATAAGCACCTTTACCTGCCTACACTGTCAATGAATGTACATCTTCCACAATAACAACAAATATTCATATTTATATTTAGAGAGCCAGTGTCGTGACTAGAGAGCCACACGAGGGACTTTTGTTATCTGTATTATAGTCCCCACTCAGTCATAAAACTACTGTGTGACTGTATAAAGTTGGGTGACTGTAAAGGTACACCCTCAAAGGTGTGTTGCTGTTGTGTAGATAAAATGGAGCTAAGTAAGCCACACTGGGTTTCTTGCAAGAAGAAAAAAGGTGGGAAATAAATACAATGTAATGATGAGAACAATAAAATTTGAGAAGTTATGGCCTAAGAATGATTGGATTGGTACTTGCGCATACTTCCACATTTCTACCTCCAAAACCTTTGCTCCAGATGCTGTAGCCATTGAGTTAAAACTGAAGTACAGTATGAAAATGCATTCTCAACTTTACAGACATTTTGGACTATTTCAAGTAATTCTTCCAGATGGTAGTTTTACTTGTTCTCAGGACACTTCATAAAGAAAAAGAAAAGAAAAAAAGACAGAGTGACAAAGCTGGCTGGGAAATGACAACAGCTGTAGTCCAATACATCTGGTTGGACTAGATGTATTGGACTGTCACCAGGTTGTGGAAGGCTGATATATAATGAAATGTTAACAGTGTCTCAATTTTATCCAACACAGCACTTAAGCCTCATGTGTTTTTCTGGATGCAGCTCTACCAAATAATTTAATTCAATTATCAAAAGGTCCCATGATCATAGCTTCAAGTTAAGTATCTCAGTTTCTCTTAAACTAACATATCTACTATAAATAAAGGCATCCAAATTACATGCCACCACCTATCTATGTAAAATATGTCTGCTGTATTTCACCTATGTTCAAACCAGCTCACAACATAAATGCATCTATCAGTAATCACAGTACCCTCATGGTGACACACTTGGAATTCCAGGTACCTTTTCTTATCATGTGGCTCTTTGTTCTGTTCCCCACAAAGCCGGAGACAAGGTAAGATCCAAGACCCTTCCTACACACACATTTTTCCACACAGTCTCCATGGTTCAGTTACCATCTGAGAGGAAAGGCAGGAAAAGCGCAACCAACCAGATTTTTTTAAAATTCTGGAAGAAAGCTTTCTGGTTAAATTGGTAATAGTAAGCAGTCCAAGAAAGTGTCCTCTCACTTGGAATTATATACTGCTCATGAAACGCTCAAGGCGGCTTCTCCCCCAGTTTTGCCTCATCTTCAGTCTCTAAAGGTTGAGGGAAGAGAGCTGGGATTATGCTACGTTTTCGCTGGACCAGCAAAATGAAAGGCGAGCGAGCAGGCGAGCGAGAGAGACAGCAACTCAGGACCGAGACGCCGTGACAAGCACGGCCACAACCCAAAACATTCCCGCTGCCCACCTCCTCCCCGCTGCGCGCGCGCGCGGGGTGGGAGGATGGGTGGGCTGGAGGAGGAGCGGGACCAGAAGGGCAGAATGGAGCCGAGGATGGCCATTTCCAACAAGTGACCGCACGAGCCGGGGCGAGGGGAGGGGAGGGGAGGGGCGGCGCGCGCGAGAGGCCAGTCCCGGCGCGCGGCCCGGCGCGCGGCGCCCCGAGAGCCCGCTCAGGGCGGGCGGGCGGCGGCGCGGGGCCTTTGTTCGGTTCTCCGCTGCCCGGAAGGAGAAGGGCGAGAGAGGAAGGGGGTCGGGGGAGGACGGGGCGGCTTTCTCGGAGGCAGGGCGCGCAGCAGGCCCCGGCCCCCTTACCCAGGCGCCGCCAGAGCCCACCCCTGGGCGTCGCTAGAGGAGAAGGAAGCCCCCATCCCCAAACGGCAGCGTTCGGGACGGGAAAGGCTGGGGCGCCACGCAGCTCGGCCGTCCGCGCACTCACCTTCCGCACAGGCTCCGGTGCGCCACTGCCTGATTCCGCTGCCGACGGTGAGAAGGGGACAACAGCCGCCGTCCGCGAACGTCCCTCCAGCGGCCGCCGTCTCTCCTCTTGCGCCGCCGCCTCCGCTTGACGATTAGGCTGCGCCGCCCTGCCCCCTCCCTCCTTCCCTCCCTCTCCCTCTCCCTCTCGCGCTCGCTCGCTGGCGCGCTCCCTCCCTCCGCGAGAGGCCGCCGCGAGCCAGTGCGTTCGAGCTCCGGCGACGTCAGCACGCAAGGAGGACGGGGCGAAGCGCTGGAGACGGAGGGGTGGGAGGGGTCAACCCAAAGGGGCCACCAAGCGGGGACGGAGAACGGAAGGAGAGCCGTCGGCCTGGGACAGCGCGGGTGCGGCCGCCTGGCCGAGGGAAGCCCGCAGGCAGGAGTGCCCTCGTGTCGCTGGGCTCGTCTCCGTCTCGATTTGCCCCCGGGAACGAGGTCCCCTCCGTGGGTGAGATAGCAGTCGATCCGTGCTGCACTGAGTTGCATGGGACTGGCGCCTGTTGCAAGCTTTCGCTCTTGGAACTCACGGCCTCCTACGGTAGTTGTGTGGCAAGTGCGATGCCAGGTGATCTCTTCTCCCTAGAAATACTTCTACGAGGGCAGCCTTGAACAGGGATGTGTAACTTCAGTTTTTAAAAAACACGTTCTAAGAACTTTCAGTGCATGGTGAATGACAACAGCAAAAGCCTGCAGTCTGAAGCATACTTACTTGAAAAAACACACACGACTTGCAATGTTTTAGAGGGAATGTTTCCCTGCAGCGTGGATCATTTTCATACTTAGACCCGTGCAAGTACATGTACTTTTTACTGCTGCATTATTTCAGCAATTACAACATTCTTACATCAACAAATCTCAGTATACACAAGAGAAATAGTTTGATCCAGGGTTTGGGGAAACAAGACAGTGGATTCTTTCCAAAATAAGATCTCTGAGAAACAAGAAGGAAACCAAGATTTGCAGAAGTACACGTTTATTTAAAAGACCTAAAGGTGGAAAGATCGCCAAAAATGACCCAATGAAGATTCAGCATGCTTAGCAGCCATGGAATAATGAGTGTTAGTTGGGAAAGGAAAATTGAAAGCTGGGTGGGAAGAGAAGAAATGTCTTGCTTGAACCTCTGGCAACTTCTACTATCCCAAATGAGACCATGGCTGGCTTTCCAGAACCTGGATCACACTGTAGCATCTTGTTCTAGGCTTTCCTTGCCAGATGTTTCAGACAAGCAGTAGATTGCTGTGGGAACAACCCAGACAGCTTCCTTTATTGGACAGCATGGGAATATAATAAATGAACAGATAATTCAACCTTGCTTGGCTTGTGAGTCATCTCACTATTAGGAACAAAATGTTGAACTAGCTAAATTTGTGGTTGGGATCCTGCAAAGGCTGTTCTAGCACCCTAACGTTAGAACAACTGCATGAAAGATGGGTCCAGTCCTGGAATCCTGTGAATAGGATTATTGAATTAGCTGGCAACCATCTTTTCAGGCCTATTTCTTTGCCCATGTTTCCCCTTGAGCTTTACAGTTTAGCTGCCATAGTTACTTGTGCAATTGACTTTTGCACAGTCTTTGATTCAGTGCCCAAGCTGGTGGTGCCAAAGTAAAAAAGTGTAAAGGCAGACCTTTCCCAGAAATTCAGCTATCAGGGTAGATATGATCATACTTTAAAGAGCTAGCTTAAGCATTACAAGCATAATTCTTTTACTAATCTTACTTCTGCTCTTTGGCCTAAAGTTAATAGAAGCATTGTCTTTTAAGTGGTCTTCATTAATAAATGCAAAGTAAAAAAGCTCTATAATATTTCTAAAAGGAACTCTCAGAAGATGACTGCATAAAAATCAATGCTTTAAATCTTCTAATGCAAAGCAGATACAATTATGGTTATGCAGTACTTACCAAAAGTGCAGTAAGCAAGTGGGATTGGTTTGTTTGAGTGTCCAAAAATAGTAGCATTGATAAAAAATAGTACTATGATGTCAGTCCTTGCAGAACTAAACAATATTCTCTGTGTGAACCAAGTTGTGTATGAGTACAGCCTGCCGTCTGTTTCTGTGATTATTATGATTATTATTCCAAGCTCAGTAATAATAGAAATGGCTGCTGGCTAGTATGAGTTGGGACTGTAAAAACTCCAGTTCACAAGGAGATTTCTTCATTTGAGCCATTCACAGGAAGAGTCCAATGGTGGTGAGGAGGAGAAATAAGCAAAAGTAAACACCCTGGCTGCACACAATCATGGAGGGGCAGAATTCCATAGTTACCATCAGCAGCGTGACTTGCCATCTTGGGTGGGCCTGAGCAGGAGGACTTTTGCCATGGGTAACAAGCTACCCAGAATTCATGGGCCATTGGAGGCTCTGGATGGCTTGTTACCTATGACAACAAGCAACCCTAGCTTGACAGGGCACCTTGACAAGACACAACAAGCTGCACTGTAATTATGCAAATCCCATCTGGCATGTATATAGCATGTGCAGTTGTGGAGAGGGAGGGTGAGGACAAGTCATTGTGGCTTATTTTTGTTCTGTGATTTTGCAAAGTAGAGTGCTACTGATGTGGTTCTGAATCTGATACAAGGTGAGTGCTCTAGGCTGGGAACCGCTCTGTCGGCAGTCACGCTTAAGTATTTTAGTCAGAGCTTGCTTAATCATGATCCCTTTAATACAGTCATAGGGTTGTTGCTTGCAGAAATTTTTAGTTAGTTTTGTCTTAAAAATAAACCCAAAGTGACTTAAAATAAAATGGTTAAAAACATAAAAAATACAACATAGTTACAACCAATTTGCATTAAAAATACCAAAACACAGTATGACAAGTAATACATCAATATCGGCTATTACCAAAACAACCAATGCATACAGAATCCTCCATATCCTCTCAAATGCCTAGGAGTGGAGGAAGGCCTTTACCTGATACCAAAAGCAATGCTGGTGACAGGCAGGTCTCACTGGGGAAAGCATTCCACAGTCATGCGGCCACCAAGGAGAAGGACCTCTCCCTTGTTACTATTTTCCAAATCGATCTTGGAAAATGGACTCTGAGGAGGGCATCAGATGTTGATTTCAGTATATGGGTACATTCATACTAGGAGGGGCACTAAGTCTTAGAAAACATGATTGCCCTTTTGGACCAATTGTGCGCACGCACTCAGAAGAGTCCCTTACATGTGTGCAAGAGGAGGAAAATTCCCATGAGAACCAGAATGTTGATGAAGAGCTATTTCTGGTGTCAGCAGAACAATCTTTACTCCCCAATTTCACAGATGCTGAGAATGAGCCAGATAAGGAAGTTCAGGGAGAAGTCAAAACAGAGGTGCACAAAGAGGTCCATTTGGGAGTAGATGGGAAAACAGTCTCACAAGTTGCTGAGATGGAATGTGAGAACCAAGGAGATAAGAGGCAAGGAACTTTCGAGGATGCTTGTTCTTGCAGGTGCAGGCGCAGACTGGGACAGCTAGAATCAAGACTGACTGAGCGATGCAAAGAGAGGAGTCACAACATTCTGTCCTTGGAGGGGCAGCCACGAAGGATTCATAGACCCAGTGTGGGTTGAAATTAGGTAGAACGAGAGGATAACTTTCTAGCTGGTGTGACTGTAATTGTAATACTGTTTAGTAAAAAGACATTTGTAGTATCAACTGGAGTAATTGCTTTCATTGGGAAGGAGCGCCAGCTGCACGACACCAATGTTATTACTCATTTGTTCTTGCAGTTGTTGTTGTAAGCTTACTCTTTATGTTTCTCTTTTCTTGGGAGCAGTTTCCTGTTTTCTAGTTCATTATGATTTTGTCTTGTATGTGGTAACTCCCTTCAATCTGCATATGAAAATCACTTGTTTATATTTCTCTCTCTCAAGGGTCTTTTGTAATTCAGTTGGCAAATAGTATCACATATTCATGTCTTCATCATTCTGGAGTGTGCAGCCAAATTATTATTAAACAGACTATATTGGAAGATAAATATAAGAATAGTCCTCAGAGGGCATCCTGGGCTTTGCTGTCACTGGCCAGTAGTCTGCTGACAGATGCCTAGCAGTAAAATCTAATTGGGCCATCCATGATCCTCTGAACTTGGAGGATTGTAGGCATCTTATGCAGAATGGGACGTCTCTTGCCTCTGTGCTCCTCCTGCCTTGCAAAGCAGCTAAATGTCTGATTTTGGTCATCTAGCTGAGGTCTGTTGGATGGGGGCAGGGGAAAGGATGCTGGAGCACAGCCAGGATATGCCATCTTCTCTCATCCCACCACCGAGAACATTCTCTACACTCCTTCTCTGAGTCACTCCCAAGACGTGGATCATGCAGCTGACATGGTTCTCTCCATGCTGGCTCTGAGAGCAGAAGAGGAATCTCATCACAGAATTCCTGCTCCAAGAAAGCTGGAAGTGATCTCTGACCTTGGTTCTGCAAAACTGAATGAGCCCATGGCCCCCCTGCTGCTGTCTAGGGGGAACAGGGTCACTTTGCTCATTTACTATAAAATTTCTACAGTACAGATTGCCACTATGGTCAGCAGAACTGCCTATCAAATCCTCGCAGATATAAGAAGACTTCTCACTAGGCTCAGTCTTCTGCTGCATACTGTTGCCAGCTTTTTATTGGGCACTGCTCATTTCCCAGTGGTGAGTAATTGTTATCTTTTAAATTCATGTGGAGCAGTGTGCTGTTCTTCCACCCACAATGTATTGTTACGTCATTTGAACTTGGACCACTGACTCCTTTGCGGGTGAGAGAAATTGGCTAGCAGGTTCCATAGCAAGCAGGTCCCACGGCTAGCAGGCAAGCACCATGACCAGCTGTCCCTTGAGGGTGTGTTGTGTTGTGCTGTGTTTTCTGTTTTGGTTTGCTTTTGGGGGAACGGGGGTTTTTGTTTTTTGGAATCTGATAAGCACAGACATACGTTTCAGCCCCAAACCACTCCAAGGCAGTGTATGTGTTTACATTTCTGCTTTTCCAAGCACCTAGAGACTTAGAACAAAGTGCAAAATATGTCCCACGATGGGAGTTAAAAGCAGAGGAAATGTTTGCGACTCTTGCTATGAAGGGGCAACCCCCAAGACTTTAACTTTAACATTACATGTTTTTAATTTTTTTTTTAAACATAGAAAT